AGTAGAACCAAAACCAATGCACAATGGTCCCAGCCGTATTTACCAAGGAAGACAAAAATGTTTGCGCCCAAACTGTCAGTTTTAGGTATATGGTTTCTTAGGGAAAGTTGCTTCATATTTTTGTTCAATCTTTTTATGTTCGTAAAATAAGGGTGGTCTATAAAATTGGTGAATTAAAAATACAAACTATTTATTATTTGAGATAGACCAAAGCAATGTTCTAAACAGTTGTAGAACATTAAATTCAATGCAAATTTGTAGAAGATCCAACGTTTTTATCTCTTATGTTTCATGAGTTATGATTTTTTAAACAAGCAGGTACCCTAGGCCACTAAACTCGATTTCTTTGAATATCTTTTCATGAATTAATTTCTTGCAAAAACATTGTTCTGATTACCATTTGAACTTTTTATGACGCATATTTTTGCTGAAGCAACTAGGTTACTATCTTTTTTTATTAGAAAGTTAAAGGCTGTTCTTCGAAGAAATGGCTCTTTTCAATTGTCAATATCTCAAAGTGGAGCAAACCAATTTCAAACATCGTTTTTTTTTTCAATTTTGGTAAAAAAAACTGCAAGAGCTTTTTGTGTTTAAAAAAAAGTAATATTTTTCAACAAAACTAGTCATAACTTTTCAAATAAAAGAAATAACAACTTAGCAAAAATATGCGTCATTAAAAGTTCTTAAAGTATATGGCATAAAAATTTCACGAGAAATGAACGTATAAAAGGATATTTAAAGAATGCCGATTGTCTAGGGGCCACCCTAACCTGCTTGTTTAAAAAAATCTTAACTTATGAACCATAAGAGATAGATATATGGTGCGTGTGTGTATGTGTGTGCGTATTGGTGTGCTTTGAAAAGGCATTGTGAAGCTTGCTTCGGTATACACCGCAGATTATATAACTTAGAAACAGATATTTTCAAAGAACACTTTACTTGTTATTCCTAATTTCAACATGTTTCTCAAAAAATCGCAAAACACATTAAAGCCTATCTGAAAGTTAACTTTTGTAGCTATCTTTTGGTTACTAAATGATAGTGGGTGGATGTGTCCGTCATATGTTTTGCTTAGTCTAAATGCGAGAAAAGCATATTTTTGCTATTTTTTATACCAGAAACTGTCACTGAAAACACTAAGACACTATTTTTTACCATCCATTTGACGTGAAATAAGCCGAGAAACATTTCTTCTCAAGCAACCAAGTTTATAAACACATTATTTTTTGCTATATTTGAGCAAAACAGTAACAAGAAACGATACGATTTTTTTTCAAAATTTTTTGATATCTCTACACTATAACAGCCATAAAAAAATATTTAATCAACAGAACTGCACAAATCATTCAATTTAAGGAACTCTTAACATGTAAAAATGATAAAAAAAATATTGAAATAAAAAAATATCAACTTTAATTTTTGAGGTTTTGACCAGCTAGGAACCACTGTGGATGTCCAGTTTCAGTTTGAATGATACCCTGATGCTCCCTCCCAACCCAGTTTTTATTTATGTAGTGAACATATATGCAATGGAGAAATGAAATATATCAGAACATTAAAATTTGACATAATGAAATACATGTATATGGATAATATAGTTGCTACTGCAATGAAGAAGTATTTTACATATAATAAGATGCAGCTCTATACCTCGTCAGCTCACAATGGCAGGTGGATGCAACACTGAAATGTTTAGGATATATTATGCAATTAAATATATTTTGCTCGAATGATACTAACAATAATGCTTAAAATTGTGATGAATAACTAACATGACGAGAAATAACCTGCTTAATAATTATATACATATAATATTATTTAATGTTGTTATTTCCTCTGCTTCATCAGCTTCATATTAATTTCGATGACTTGCTTGGGTAAACTGAAATATTAAGCTAATAGTAATAGTATATCATGCAATGTATAATTTTTATAATATATGTAGTGAAATGCAAAATATAAAAAAAAATAAACAAGTTTTGTTATTTATAAATCATTGGTCGCATCTAGTCTAAAAAGGGTACCTGTATAATAATTATTTCCGGCATATTAGGCACAACCCGCACTTAGTCTTCCTTAATCCAGCGCAGTTTAGCACTAAACGGAATGCTATTATTACTGATGGCTTCCAAATTTATTTACCTTTCCGTACGTACCGTAAGATTTGCTAAAGAGAAACCAATCGTTGAGATATTGTCAAAAGTCTAACACTGCTTCTTGACGCTAAACTCGGCCTACGGATTCTAAACTCAGCCTAACGCATTGAAACGCCAATGAATTCACTTTGGCCTATCGGATGAAGATAAAACGTGATTCGGTCGGAGCCCTTCTTTTGTTTTTGGGAATTATGGGTGCAAACCTTCATATCACGCGTTCAATGAGTAGCGTAGTAGCGTTCCGTAGCGTATTAACTAAAGTATCGTACCAAACGCACAATTGACTTGTTAACTCTGAAATCAAGGATTTATTTGAAGTTTTCTGCTCGATGGGCCCAAAATGGGCGATTAGGCAAAAGTAGTTCTCTACCCTATGCATATAATGTTAAGTATTGTTGTTGCTTCCTCTGCTTCATCTGCTTAATTTAAATTTTGATGAGTAATACAATACAATAACGCAATAGGCACTTGATGTCAAAGCCAAAATATGAGCATCAGGACACAGACAAACAGACATAACACTCGCAAGTTTTTCATCGAACAAGAATTTAACGGTCAATTTAAAAGTATCGTAGTTGGTAGTACCGCCACCTGTGGCGCGCATAGTCAATTCCCTTGCGTTTGACGTTTACACACTACCGCCATCTGTTCAGCGTATTACCCACCACAGTGTACCCAACAGATGGCGGTAATGTTTTAGCGACGATGTTTTACAGTGAGCGATATTCAATGTGTTATGTCTGTTTGTCTGTGATCAGGAGTTTCTTCAAAGAAGAAGAAGTTCAACTTTTCACCTCTATCAGATCTGATGGATTGTAGTACTGTTCGCCACTCTTGTTTTGGGACTCTATGTGAATACCTTTTTTCTCCTTCCATGCTGTAGCACTCGGTAATACCATAGAGCTAACTTTAAGACAATAAGGTCCTGAAGATACGTGTTCAACTTTTTGGCTCAGCTCTGGTACTATCTTCGGTCTCAAGCTAATCGATGCACCTCTCGAAACATAGGAAAATCCACGAACCCCTCATTTTATCGAAACAAACGTTCTGTAGTACTAGAATTTCGACTGGAATGGGGTACGTTAATCGATTTGCTTGGGACCAATAGGCTAGTCAAGTAGTGATGCCACTTTAAAATTGTTAGTTTCCACGACTTTGCCAGATTTCACTGCACTTGAAGCACTTTTCACTCGCGAAACGCGCGGAAATTAAAACTCGCAAGAATGAGCTCTAAATGTGACCGCTCGGTAGGAATGCCAAACATCGAATGCACTTTTATATTTTGTCTTGTTCTAAATAAATGATTCAACTTTTCATCTCGAACCAAAATTTTTCCTGCCGCTTTTCGAAAACACCAACAATTTTTGTGATTTAAAAGATCCTTCAAAAAAGTGCAAAACCTTATAGCGAATTTGTTTGTTATCCAGATTGGAACCAGTTCCAACCCGTGCGAACCCGAGCTTATTATCAGTGTGAAGCTCGACCCAAGCCAGGTTATAAAAACAAACGTTGACACTGATGTTTGAAAGGAAACAATACCCGATCCAGGTTGGAACTGAATCAAAAACAAATTTGCCATTACTCTGATCACTGCCCGACCTTACTCTGTATTTAAAAAGATCAGTTAACACGATCATACAACAGGCTTGAAATCAAAAATACACCGAAAATGTGTATATAATGGAAGAACTGTACTCCTTTCTAATAAGCAAACACTTGATAGCTACGGAGGCATAATTACAAGTAATATGAATTCTTTAAGACAATTGAAACTGCCAATACCGATGAAAATTTGTATCGGGCTTAGCGCACCCAGAAACACGAATGTGAACTACAGTTGTTTTCTAGATTGAACAGATAGCAACAAAGCTTTCACTTACTGTTAGCGGCAGTCCACAACCGCCAGCTGAACCCCACTCTTATGTCAATATGCCTCTAGCAGCCATATCTAAAAAACGATTAGGTTTGGCTAAATTTACACTGCTGTTATTGCTTTCATTGAATGAACCCGATGCGAGACCAACATTTGACAGATTGTTTATACTGGGACAGTATTAATAGTTTATGCCAATTGGATCTTTTTGCAGTAAAGTTATATACTGCTGAAACACCACTACATGGCATAGCTATACGTGATAGCATTGGTAGCACGTAGCAAGTTTCGTGTGCTTTTACATAAAGTAAGGCATAAAATTTACAGTTCGGTACAGCGGTTTATAGCTAGGGAAGCCCTACTTTAATTATTATTGTTTTAAATTAGAATGCACATTTGTTTTCTGGATTTATTTTTAATTTCTGTATTCTACAATACTGTTTCCGATAGCTAAGGCATGCAAAGGCGTGAATTTAAAAAAAGAAGGCATATAAAGCCGCTTGTATTCTACAGCATTAATATTATGAAAGTCAACTGACGGATGAACTGTATGCTCAGGTCTTGTATATGTATGCAATTCGTCTCAGTTAAAAGTCATAATACCTCACCTGCAAAAATCGTACCAGCCGATGCTGATTCTGATTCAGAAATATAATGTTTAGATGGTGGTCCATAGAAAATTAGCTAGTCTCCAGTAAAAGTGTCTGCTGTATAAATTAACTGAAAACTGCTGTGAAACTTTTATTTTTACACTTACAGTAGGATTAATCATTAAATAAATTACTTGATCACCTCCGACGTCACTAGGTCACTAAAATGCAAAGATTTCGAGAAATTCAAGAAGTTCGCGTGTTCAACACTGAGCACTAAAAAGAGCTCTACTTAGATTCCCAAATACAGTCATCCGGTAGTGTATGTCTGTGGTGATAACTGAAAGTGCACACGCCTTGTGCTTTTGCATCAGTTCTCAATAGTTTGTCGTACGTCGGCCCGCACGGTTCGAATCTGCTTAAACGAGATCGCTGGTGAACGTTTAGCTACCTACATATAAAACTCGCGCGCTGTGTACTACTGTGTGCCGTCTTGTTTAAATCAGAACATTGCTGGCAAAGTGAGAAACTCGTTCCGTGTCAGGAAATGATAGAGTGTCGAATAAACTGTATGCTGTGAAGAGAAAACAAATACTGTTTGGCATCATGGATCAACGGCTGGTCAGCGTTATCATTTTGGGATTCGGCTTTATGCTGTTATTCACCGCCTTTCAAACGATGGGCAACATTGAAGTACGGACATAAATTAGTAGCTTCCATAAAGAAACGTTTATCTTGCGATTAACCTCCGGATGTTCGCGCTTCTCGCTGTCTTTCTTACTTTCTTGTAGCAAACTGTGATAAACAGCATCAAAACAGACGAGCCCACATTTAAGGGAGATGGATACACTAGTTTGGCGGTAATGTATCAAAATCATGTGTGGAATATATATGTGTTCATTGTCTTGCTCGCTGCTCGTTGTAATGACAAATTGAAACGGTATTTCGGGTTACATTTTCTTTTTGCACTGAGCGTAAATTGGCGATATTATGGTAGGCTGTTTCACAGAATACTCTTTATTTGGTGAATTCGAATCAGTATGAAATATATAGGTTAGGTTTTCCAGTAATAGTGATGTACCTATACTTATGGTATGGGCACAGATAAACAGACATAACTCTCGCAAGTTGTTCATCGAACAAGCATTTAACGGTCAATTTGAAAGTATCGTAGTTGGTAGTACCACTACCTGTGGCGCGCATAGTCAATTCCCTTGCGTTTGACGTTTACACACTACCGCCATCTGTTCAGCGTACTACCCACCACAGTGTACTCAACAGATGGCGGTAATGTTTTAGTGACGATGTTTTACAGTGAGAAATATTCAATGTGTTATGTTTGTTTGTCTGTGGTATGGGGGTTGTGCCGGAATAATGAGGAAAAACTGGATAAGGTTATTTTTATCGATAGCTCTTCTAAAATAAAGGAGATAAGCATTTTTCAAACTTAAAATAAGCTTAAAAATGACGGAATACAATCGATTTTCCCTAAGATTTTGACTCCTTTGCAACTATATTTGCGGTAGTGTTTCTGTAATAGTGGAATCCTTTCGAATCCTAACAGTATTTATTTTAATAGAGGACAAGTTTTCGATAAATGTAAACAATTTAATTACGATGTAATATTTTTCTAGCAAAATAGATATTGAAAGCTATTATTTGACGCATAAAAATTGTATGTACATAGTTTATTAATGTTTTAATAAATAAAATGTGTTAGTTCCTCCACTACTGGCTCATTCACCCTACATAGATGCATAGCTCAATTGTTATTGTATAATTTAACTTTGAAAACCGTCAAAACTACTCTCATCGTGGATCAGTTTTTGAAATCAAAACTATATAAACTATTTAAAAATATGTCAGTCACTTAGCAAACATTTGGTGTGTATGACTAAATTAATGAAAATTTCCTGCTCTGCTTCTCATGACGCGATTGATTAATAATCTGTACATGACTTCTTTTTCTTGGATTACAGCTGTAATCAGCTACTCTGAACAGAATATATTTATAGTACTTTCACAGGAATTAATAGAGATAGAGAACATGTGAATTTGCATCAGAATTTCAGACTTGACCTTCTCCACAATTATTGTTCAATGGCAATCGTTCACATTTGTGCTTAAATTATGATATTATGATTCTGGTAAACAATTTCAAAATAGAGTATTTGATATTTTTTATAAACCATAGCACGCCAATAGCACATCTAGTCAACATGACGTCTGAACAAGCGTTGTAAGGAAAAATAAAGTCTTATAGGAAAAAAAGGCAAAAATTTTTATTTTATGTAAAATTTAAATAAAAAAATTAAAAAAATATCCAATTTTTATTTTTTTTTTCATCAAATCAAACTTATGTGTAATTTAAAAAATGGATTTCCACTAATCTACTTCACAATGGCCAAAATCATTGAACAACAAATGTTGTGGTAAACACATATTTATTCGGTTGTACTACTGGTTTGTGGGGAAATTTCTTTTTCATGGCTTTCTCAGACTAGGGTAATTCAATGAAGCAATGTACAACTCACCGAATATCGAAATCACAAGGATAAATTGGTATAGTGGCAACCAAGGAGGAATGCAATGTCTAAAAAAGAAGATAACATCGAAAAATACTACCTCCGTGGGACGTATGTGAAGAAAAAATGCTCCCATAAATGTGGATGTGGCTACTATCCCATTGGAATTGATCGGATCTGATTCTACATGTATCTGATCGGTTGTAGATGATGCTCAAACTCGTAGTATTCGTTCGCCAGCCGAATGAGGATGTCTTGTGTTCATAGGATAATAAAATTTCTGTATTAAGGTTTCAAAGGCAGACCAGAAACCTACCCTTTCGTGGTGTGAAAAGCAACGGTCTATCAGCGGCCAGAAAGAGTTGAAACCGGTGGGGAACATTGTTGCAGACCGAATATAGAGCATGATGAATATGACTGCTGTAGTTTGTTGTGTTTGAGTTTCAGCATTATTATGAATTATGGGTACTAATGGGGCCTGATTAATAGCTTCTTTCGCTCGAGCCCACGCTAGAATTCGAATTTAAATCTATAAGTGAACTGAGAAGTGCACTACTGGTATGAGTTCCTCTGGTATATTCAATTAGATGATGTTTCTAAATATACAGTCAAACAGCACGTAATGTTGTGAACAACTTCAATGTCAGTTGTCCAGCAGTGCTCCCTTGTATTTACAATAATCCAATGCTTACGAGATTGTGCCGATGGATGTGGGCAACCTGTGCCGAATCTAATTTTGGCACAATGTGCTGAGTTACTTACCCCTTGGGTGTATAACTTTAAACTGCGTAATTAGAACTTGGCGTTGGGTGAAAAAAAAACTTTTCAGTTTACATACGAGTGAATGAAAACAACTACAAGCGGTGTTAACTCAAAATTAAGTTATCGACACAAATTTAAATAGCACTATATGTGCTTGTACATACATGTTCAGGGCCGTTAAATTGTGGGTTTAAAATATGTTATTTTGAAACCATAAAAATTTAACTTTCATTTTATTCAACTATACTCAATCTTTTCTATTTGAAAGAAATGTTAATTAAAATCCGCAAAATGAAATAAGCTTTTGTTGAAAAAACACTTATGTGTAGAAATACTGCAACATTAACTTGTCTTCATTGAATTTGAAAAGCACACCCAACCGAAGGATGTAATATTTGCTTACAATTATGAGGGATTCATTATCGCAGGATGTTAGTGGAGACCGCATGAATGGAGGATGCGATATACCGAGCTGCGATCCAATGTAATTAAATGTAGAAAGAAAACTGAGGAGTGTATTAGTGAGTGAAATTAATAATGTCGAAAAAAAAAATAGAATAAAGGTGGCCAGCCAACTGGGACTCTAACCACGAACGTTGCGATTTTCAGACCTGTGCTTTCTCCACTGCTCTCTCCATGCTGCGGAATATAGATAGGCTAAACCCAAATAAGAAGCACTCATAGTAGGGTACAGAACTACTTCGGCCTAATCGCCCATTTAGGGCCTATCGAGCAGAAAACTTCAAATAAATCCATGATTTCAGAGTTAACAAGTCAATTATGCGTTTGGTACGATACTTTAGTTAAAGCTATGGAACGAAGTCAATGAGAACGCGTGATATGAAGGTTTGCACCCATTATTTCCAAAAACAAAAAAGCGCTCCGACTGAATCAATTTTTATCTTCATTCGATAGGCCGAAGTGAATTCATTGGCGTTTCAATGGCATTTCAACGCGTTAGGCCGAGTTTAGAATCCGTAGGCCGAGTTTGGCGTCAATCATGTTTGTTTGCAAGCATCAAGGGAGATGCCTGCGTTCTTTGATTTTTTCTCCTGGACCAGAAATTAGTGGCATCGCGAGTGATAATGTGCGTGAAAGAGCTCGGTACGATCGGTGTTGATGTTGGTTCGCTTGCAACTATTTTTGCAAAAAAAAAAATAAGTGTTTTCGTACGAAATTGATATCGAAAGTTTACCAAAAGTGCGTCTGGACGTGTTTCGCAGTTGGGTGTGGTGAAATTCGTGAAAATGCCGTTTTTTTTCAGTGAAATTTCCGTATCACAAAACTGCTCACCGAGTTCCCGGGTTTGCGAGAGGAAATTAAGCATCGGGAATGTGCTCCCGGATATATTGATTTGGTGAGTACGTTCCAGTTGAAGATTGCTCTTAGGGGCTGTTCATTAACTACGTAGACAGGATTTTGGGATTCTTGACCCCCCTCCCCCTGCGTAGACAATTGCCCATGCATTTTTTTTAAATTTGTATGTGCAGTGCCGCGACGCGACCAATTCAAGAGAATCTTATTATTTTTTATTAACGTCGCTTACGCCTACCTGCAAGACCGAAAAAAAGCGAAAGTTTGGATTTTTTTTTCTCGAAAACGGCGCAACATATTGAAAATCGGTTTTCTGCCGTTTATTGAACACACATTAAATGGTACATTTATCAGTCGATGCTGTAAAAACGAGGTCCTGGTGCCCGGACGGCTGCTCCCCGTGGACGATGTTCTAAAAAACGCTTTTTGTGGTGCCAACTGACGGATTTCACGCCAACTCATCCAGTGGTTGGCAGCACCCTCTCAGAACCTTATGGAACTTTGTGGGTGTGGAGACTTAGCAATTTTAAGCAACTTTGCGTACTTATTTTTTTCAAAATTTATCTCGCCTAACATTTGATAAGGGTCAAAGTTTTTTGTCGATTTTTTTTTCAAATCGATATAGCTTAAAAATGACAAGCCCTACAAAAAAGTGATGTATGGCGAACTTTTAGCAAATAATCTGAAATTTTATAAAAAAATTTAAATAAAATAAAAAATCGGTTTCTACACTCTAAAAAAATATATTTAAAAATTAAAAGTAATTTTCCCAAAAATGGTACCCTTCAGATTTGCTTGATATTTTTTCTCATGAAAGGCAATATAATTACCTAACTTTTCTTCATACATCGCAAAGTGGGCGCTTTTAAGGAAAAAAAGTTGTTCGAACAACAACTTTTTCATGTTAATTTTTTTTTAGCGTGTTTCACTCAAAGTCGAATAGTAATACGCGCACAACCTTATTAAAATTCGATTAAACTTTATGGGTATACTTTTCGATAATCTGGGCGAAATCTAGCCTAACATTTGAAAAGGGTACAGAGAAGTTACCTGCAAATCGTCCAATAAGAGTTCAGAACAAAACGTTCTAATGAGGAACAGCCATCTCAGCATGGTTTGCACTTTCCTGTGATGGATTGTATTATAATATATGCATACACTCTATCCAACTTCTATAAAACCACCCTCAAATTGTTCCAAATCAACAGGTAAACTAAGTAAAAATCACTTAGTATGTTTTATTCATGAAAAGATTTCAA